GCTCTCTGGGTACTCTGAATATCTCTAGTGCTGAAATTAAACCTTAAAAATGAGTAGCTAACAGGAACGATAGAATTTTCGATGATCTGGGCCTGATAAAATATAGAATTGCGAAGGTTTATATTATTCGATAAAAAGTTTGGGTTTAATTAAACAAAGCTTGAGATTAGTGGAAAAGCGTAAGATTTTAGAGGAGTGGCTTGAGCTTGAGGTTTGTTCGAAAAACGTGAGGTTCACGCCGGATGCGTGAGACTTGGTATGATATAGGCCTATATATTGACTATATTTTTGATTTATTTTCTTTGGTATAGGCCTAAGAATGAGATAAAATCAGCTGACCTTTTTTATGAGGGGTAAAACCTTGAATTTTGAAGAAATTAAAGGTCATTAAAAGACACCTCAGAAGTTGGGAAAGCTTATATTTCCGGCCATCTATGAATCGAAATTTTCCCGGGGGAGGACCCCGGACCCCCTTTCATTTTTTGGGTTTATGGGAAAATGAACCCCCCTATTTCAAGTCCTGGCCTTATACACTGATCATTTATTGTCATTACACCTAAACAACATAATACATATTTGCAGCGATATAGACCAATATATAAAGTCACATTTGATGATGTTGCAGGCGTTTATCATCCGAATATCTGAATTATTAGTAGGCCTTTAATGTATACATTATTTTAATCGATTTCAACATGCTGTGTATAATATTTAATAATAGGCCTAATATGATGGATAACAATGTATTTTATTCTTTATTTACTGACATGTCTAAAGTCGGAGGCGGACTTTAAGGTGGGTAGTTATGCAGCCGTCCGGGGCTCATACATTTTTTTGTATTATTAGATTGCTCGGTAGCAGTAAGTAGGGACCCATCGCCTTTCAGGGACTCATTTGGACATGGAAGAAGTAAGCGTTTCCCTAGAAAACACAGGCATTACATAACTGGTCAAACCTCCATAATGGGGCATCCAGGGGCATAGTTTAAAGAACCCCTTCTAATAAATCAGCCAAATATTGTGTTTGTGGGATTTTGGTCTATTCTGTTTTTTCGGAAATTATACAAAATGTTACGTATTGTTAAGACGTTGTAGGAGAGTGCTGAGTATCAGTGTTACTGTAAGTAAAAGTATCTAACCCTCTCCAGGGCCCATTTGGACTCGGACTTCGCCCAGAAACACATGCGTTACTTAAGGCTTAGTAGTAATGTTTTAGGTAGTAGTAGGAGCGCCCCCACCCCCACCCGGCATCCGAGAGCTCACGAGTTACGCAAGTGGGTCCGTTTATTTAATATGATATGCCATAATTGGACTTTATTGGACAATACATGAAACACTACACCGTTTTTGATATAACTGCAATACATTATCCAGCATCGGAAGAGCTTTCCAACGATACCAAACACGACTACTTTTTGGTGAGTTTATATACTTATTCTTATTTTATACACATTTTAAGTATATTTTGCGGATATTTTAAAACAAATAAACACCTATTTTTGAATTATGTTCCATTCTGGCATAAGTGACAGTAGTGTGTATATGTCTGGTTTGTTGCCTGTATAGAAATTATGATTTTAGACACCAACATCATATCTGTAGATTATTTAGTTCCAATTATATGCACATTTTAGATAAATTTGGCGACCATTTTGAAAGCCGCCATTTGTATACCAGGTGAAAAAACAAGTGTCAACAGGGCTTAGGGTGACCATCAGGGATTAATTAGGATATCTGGCTATGTTGACTGCTTCTAACATTCCACTCCCCCTTACTTGATTTCTAGGCC